TCAGCGGGTGTTGCATGCATCAGTCCAAAAGAAGTGAAATAAAAAGCGCCCATCCATTAAAAAAAAGTGTCTCTCACAGCTCCGGGGTGTGAACACGGGCGAATGACGTATGAGGTCAGCGTTTGCCTATTCACCGAGAAGAATAGGCAAATAGTCTGGTGACGTAGGTCTGTGCGCGTTTCAATACCAAGTACGCAAATTTCGGACTTGCATCCTCAGTAGTTCGGACTTTGCGAGTTCGACTCAGGAGTGTGAACTCCCGCGGACAGGACGACGCAGGTCCGGTAATTCTGCAAACAGCAGCGTACTTGATAACATCAGTCTGCTCACCTTGGCTACTGCATTTTTCCTCATTGTATTTACAAGGTGACCATGATTTCACCAAGTACAACATGTTCCTAGATCAACATCCTTGTTGATCCTGGAACAACATTCCAGTCAACCAATCAGAATTGAGGGATAACTTTTCAGGAAATATCTGTTTTAGGCTTACGATCAGGGTTAGGTGCTTCTACACCCTTGTTAATCAGCTATCATTTCACACTGATTTTAGGATAAATTATGGGTAGGGATTGGGTTTAGTCTATATTTTTGGACAGTAATGTTGATCCAGGATCAACAAAAGATGTTGATCCAGGAACGTTTTACTTGGCAAAATCACGGCGACCGACGACGACATAGAGCAGTATCTAACCACATTTGAGCAACTGGCTGAAGCTTATCTGTGGCCAAAGGCAGACTGGGCAGTTCATCTGGTTCCATTGCTAACGGGGAAAGCCCGAGCCGCATTTGTCGCTATGGCGCCTGATACTAACATGGATTATAACAAGCTGAAAGAAGTACTTTTAAAGAAATATGAAGTGAATACTAAGACTTATAGAATTAAGTTCCTTGCTTTGAACACTCCAGCGAACGAGTCGCCGATGGAATTGTACGTTCGATTCGAGACTTATTTTCAAAGTGTGTTCGGCTGGAGACAGTGACCAAGAAGGAATTAATGGAGACTTTGGTGCTGGAGCAGTATATGAGAGTGTTGTTCCCGGAAATTCGCACATGGGTTAAAGAGAGGAATCCAGCAGCTCAGCTGGTTGAGTCATACCTCGCGGCAAGGAAAGGTTCTTCGACACCCCTTCGCTATGCTGGCATTCTGCAAAGCACCAGAGGTAAATCTGTGGGGTCGGGGGGGTAGTACGTACTCGCAACAGCAAACGCAGATTATTAAGCCCACCCACCCTAATCCCAGACCTTCTGTGTTAATGCATCAGTCAGTAGACAAAGACGATGTTGTTTGCTATAATTACGCAGAGCTGGACCATACTAGTCCTCATTGCCCAGTTAGAAAACCCAAAACCGCTCATTTGTGTTACTTACCTACTTCAAGTATGTCTTACCTCCATTAGTAAAGAGCCCATTATTGAAGTGTTACTGAATGGTAAACCTGTAATGGCACTTGTTGATACCGGTTGTGTGCAGACACTAGTACAGAGCCAGTATGTACATAGAGATACATGGATGGGAAAAAAGGTGTCCGTTTGTTGTGTACATGGAGATCGGTCAGACATACCAATGGCAGAAGTGTACATTGAGGTTAGTAAGCAGCCATTTTTGATGAAAGTTGGAGTTGTGGGTAACTTACCATATCCAGTGTTGTTGGGTACAGATGTGCCCATATTAACAGATTTGTTGCAGAAAACTGCGCTGCGGTAACGAGAGCACAAGCTAAAATTGTGACTGAAATAACGCGGACACAGAGCCAGATAAGTGAATTGCCCTTTGCTGATGTCGATGTAGAAGCCGACACGAAATGTGAAGTCAGTCAGAGAATGTTGAAGCTTAGCAATGAGGTAACTGATGTAATGCAGGCTTCACAGCAGATCAAGGTAGAGCTAGAGGAGCCTGAAGACATCGAGTTGAGTTTCAACATTTCAAACGAACTAGCACTTACGCAAAGAGAGGATGTTACACTAGCAGAGTGTTTTGACAAAGTTGGGAAAGAAACCGCAATAGATGTGTTGAATGGTGAGAGGTTTTTGATTGAAAATGATTTGCTGTACAGACAATCAAAGGAAGATGGTACACATTTAGTGGTTCCCAAAAAATATCGCAATCAGGTGTTGCAACTTGGACATTCTATTGCTTGGTCAGGTCATCTTGGGTTCAAACGTTGATGAGAATATCAAAGAGGTTTTTCTGGCCAGGAATGTTCAACGAAGTTAAGGAATACTGCAAGAAATGCGCTGATTGTCAGCTAATGGCTAATAGAACCCCGCTGTAGCGCCATTAGTGCCTATACCGGCAGTTAGTACACCATTTGAAAGGATTGCTGTTGATGTTGTTGGACCTGTTGTCAAGAGTCAGTAAGGTAACAGATTCATTCTCGTAATTTGTGATTATGCAACCCGTTATCCGGAAGCATATCCCTTAAGAGAAGTCACCACAAAGCAAATTGCGAATGCACTTTTACACTTCTTCTCACACGTAGGCATACCAACTCAAGTATTAACCGATCAAGGCACAAATTTCATGAGCCACACATTACAACCAGTTTACCAACTCTTAGGTATCGAACGAGTACGTACAACTCCCTATCACCCCCAGACTGATGGGTTAGTTGAACGGTTCAACCAAACTTTGAAAAGTATGCTAATGAAGTTCATTTCGGAGACTGGAAAAGACTGGGACAAATGACTACCGTACCTGCTCTTCGCTTATTGCGAAGTCCCACAAGCATCTACGGGATTCTCCCCATTTGAACTTCTATTTGCCCATCAAGTAAGAGGTCCGCTAGACGTCCTGAAAACCAGCTGGGAGGAGAAGGATAAACCGCGCAAGCAAAACATTCTGTCTTATGTGTTGCAGATGAGAGAAAAAATACAGCATGCGACTGAAACAGCTCAAGCAAGCCTGCAACGGTCCCAGGAAAAACAAAAGACTTGGTATGACAAGAAAGCCGTCTACGAGTGTTCCAGCCGGGAGACCAAGTGTTACTATTACTACCAACATCAGACAACAAGCTGTTAGCGAAATGGCAAGGCCCATACAAGGTAATCAGGAAAGTATCTGCAGTGAACTATGAGATTGAAATACCATCCAGACAGCAACCATTACAAATATTTCATGTCAACATGCTGAAGAAGTGGCATGAGCTCACTGAACAGCAAGACTCGATATCCAGCAAGCAGCAGCTACTGGTGAGAGCCGTCAACAACGATGAGGAAACAGAGGAATTGTACTTACCTGTACATCAGAGTAACAGTCTCCTGGATCTTCAGCATCTGGATTCAGTGCAGAGCGGACAACTGCTGGAGAGCATCCCTCTGCATCTCTTCCAGAACATACCTGGGAAAACAGACATCATTCAACATCATATTTACCTGAAGGATAGTAAACCTATACATCAGCAGCCATATAGAGTACCACAAAAACTGCTTCCAACAATGAAACATGAACTGGATGAAATGTTGAAATTGTGAGTAATAGAGCCCTCCGACAGCGAGTGGAATAACCCCATTGTCCTTGTCCCTAAGAAGGATGGATCCATCAGATTCTGTTTGGATTTTAGGAAGTTAAATGCAGTCGAAGTAGGTTCGACCCATACCCAATGCCTCGGGTCGTTCTGATCGAGAGACTGAGCAATGCACAGTATTTGACCACGCTTGACCTTTGTAAAGGCTATTGGCAGATTCTGCTGAGTGAACAGAGCAAGGAATTAACAGCATTCAAAGCATCC